TATATATATATATATATATATACGGTCTAGTTAAGACTAAAACTTTTACGTGGCTCGAAATAAAGTAACAATAAAAGTATTGAAACCATTACCATTACCACCAAAATATAACTGCGATATATTATTATGAACGTTAATCAGAAGAAAATATGTAACGTCGTTACCCATTCGTTACCGAAAAGAGTAACTTGTAACAGTAATGACATTACAAGTTACTTGCCAATCCTGTATTTATAACATCATTAATGGAATTGGATGCTGTCACAGCTCATTACGTAATAGTAATAATTTTCCAGTACTGCCAGTATTGGCAGTGTACATTGGAACATCCCTGATGAAAATTTTTTGTATAATGAGGAATGATGAAATATTACTGAAATTGTAATGATCAATGATAAAATATTACTGAAATTGTACCCAGTCAGGTAGGAGACGTTGATATGACCTTCATTCGAAATCGAAGAGATTGATGGCTGGTTAATTGATTTCGACGTCGAACTACTGTTGAATCGACTTCTTTTTAATTAAATAATAATTAGCAAATGTATGCACATGCAGTCAAATGTTTATATATAATTATTATGTATTTACACTATTTCAAGCAGATATAAAATTATATTATGTCATTATTCAAACTAAGTCGGTTTTTTTAATAGGTACATTTGATTATCAATCTGTTCAACGTGGAATGAACGTTGTACCAACATCACTTTTCTGACTGAGATTGTATGCCTCTGGTATAGTATATCAATTGCTCACATCGCTAATTGTCAATTAGTAATTAGCTAATTTAAAATAACATAATTTCATTGGTAAAGCAGTTAAAACTTACTAGGAACCGACCAATGTGAATGATGTGTGCAATGGAACTGTGTGCAAATGCGCTGCTCCCGCATGCATCTTAGCGCTATAATACCTAATGATAGTTCAATTGACCAATCAGGATAAAGAAATCTATAAATCGTACGTTTAAAACTAATATTACATTCATCCATATTTTATCGCACGACAAATTTTTCAAGCATGTCAATATTGGCTGCAGGACAAAGAGATCTGACAACCTCTATCCCGCAACCACTCAACGTAATGAATAATGATAAAATTATTAATGAATTTCGTATTGAAATTATATTAATTGACACATTTTCAGTATAATTTCATTAAGATTTTATTATAATTCGTTAATATTTTGTAAATAATTAAATACAAAATGTTATTGTATTTAGTTTCGCGTTGGTACAATGCATGTACTAAACTACATGTAAAAACCATGTGCAAATGTAAACATAACTGCAGATAATCTGAGCTTCGATTATATAACTCTACTTATACAGAAAAGAACAACTAAATTTTACATGCGAGAACTGATACCATCTGGTATCGGTTCTCGAAAGCAGTGGTTCTAGAAAGATGAATTCAACGCTTTTTGTTACAATATAAACTAATTTTCTTATTTTTCAACAGATTTCAGTATTTTTTTCTACTATTAATTTCGATCGACATTTTAATTATAGTGTTCCTCTTTTGGTAACACTTTCATTAATAAATCTACAAAAATAATATACTAAATATTTCGTTTCAATGTCATTATCTTTAAAATATTTTCATTAATTTTAAAACTCATAGTATTTCAGCATATTGCAGTGTACTATAAACAGCAAAAATATTATGTTTTGCTTATTTCATGCATTTTCAAAAATATTTTTAGGATTTATGATACTTCAACATAATTCGATG